TTCATATTATCGTTTGGACCATATTCACTCTCCGGTTTCTGTAGTTTATATATAACCCTCTCTGTACACTGAAGAGAATTCTGCTCTACATTCTTAACATATACCTACATCATATTAGGTTTTAGGTGTTTATCAATAATTTGACCATTATCTACTCTCTTAATGTTTCACAGGATGTGGGTAAGGAAGAGCCTTGCAACGAAGAAAACAACGACAATTGTTTGCCAGAAAGTGTTCAGGGGGAAGAGCATAAAGAAGAGTATGAAAACAACAGTGAAGACACTGAAGAGGAGAACCAAGAAGATGAAGATGTTGCAGATGATGAAGAGCACTGTAATGAAGTGAATGGGGATGAAAGACTGAAAGAGTATACTGACGAAGAATTGGAGCAGGATGAAGAGGAATTGGAAGTTATATCGCCACTTATAATTGCAAGGTCGGAGAGTTTACCAGGACTGACATCAGAATTGCATCAAAAAGCTTTACAAATAAAGCAGTGGAAGACATCATCTGATCACAGACTGAAGCAAAGGGTAAATAATTTAACTGGTGCTACCTCTTTTTTTAATGGCTTGTACATGTATCAGTGATACCTTAATTATCATGGAAATAGGAGAGGGTGACAGTAACAACCTTTCACTACCTCTTCCACATAAAATACACAACTGATATTTGCTTTATTAGTAGCACATGCACTTAGTAAATGATTCAGTATACAATAGATGTTGGTTTATATGCATTTCCACTGGAGATGACCTTCTAACACTAACAGAGCAAATACTACTGTCTGTATAGAAATCATCATAAAAACTGTTCTCACTTCCACTTCGTACAGTTGTACATCCTTGTTGCCTCCAACCACATCTTCCAGTCCCCAAAAAACTTAACATGTACTTGGATGATTTTGAAGCTGTAAATAGTTTATTCTATTTATTTTATATATATGCATTTTCAGGAACAAGAATTGGAAGATGCTCAAAATATTATTGATGAACAAGGTGCAGCGATGGAGGAATTACAGGTATTATTTAGTTACTGTGCTTTATATTTGTTGTCTAAGTTTTGAAACAGAACGTTACCAAAATACCAAATACTCATATTAATTACTTGTCCAGTTACTATTTGAATATATTACATGCATTTATGAGGCAGTCATGTATCTGATGCTCACAACTGAACACTATTGTTTACAAAATCTAGTTTTTAAAAAAAAAAATTGTTTTAAAAGAATTGATAAAGTATGTCACTCAAACAGGAATTTTTTGTAAACTTATTTATTGACAGTTTTTCTCTCAAAAGGTGGTGCATATACAGGCCCTTTCATTTTTTACGCAATTTCTAACAGCCATTCTGAATTCCTAGACGTTCACAAGCAATTTTATAACTTACATATAGGAGGATGTATATGGCTGCACAAGTATTTTTGTGAACTAATAAATTACTACTACTCCTGTTGTAGTTAATAAATAGAAACTTGACAGCCAAAATGGAAGAGCTTGCCGAAGAGCAGGAAAGCTTTCAGTACAAGACAGAGTAAGTAATAATTGTTTTGGTTTGTTTTTGTCTGAGGGATTGACTGTACTGGAGTATTATTATAGCTATTGACCTGTTTGTTTGAGTATTTTTAAATGTAAATTGAAGTTATAATGCTACTTGTAGCTTTATAAGCTTTGTTTGTGAATCTATGAATAAATGAAAAGCAATAAAACGAAATGTGCACACTCGTGTGTGAGGGCGCTATCTTATAAACCTATCTGTTGAGCCTACAATAAAAAAAGGAATTTACACAATTATGTGTGGGGGTGCTTTTCTTAAGCCACCCTTTTGTGACTGCAAATATTTGTGGCTCTGCCTTCATAAGTAGCAATGGCATTTAATGCCTATGAGGTAGTGACTCATAACACTGGTACACTCATATACTGTAAAATGGCACTACAAATCAAATCACTCTTAAAAGGGTGACATAAACCCTGCTTTTAAATTTTACTCTGCTTCAAAATTGATGTACCAGTATACATAATAGTTGTATCAAATACTGCACTGCATCAGGATTATATTAGAATCCTCACAGACATTTCTACTCAAAATTATTATCATTTTATGTATGAATTCAAAAAGGAGAACTGAAAACTATTGACTAATCTTTATGTTATTCTGTTGAGCTTCGTGTTGCATTTCAACCTTTGTATACAGTTGTGTAAGTTCAGTGTATGTTTCCATGCATGTTAGGACATAACCATAGCTATGTGTCATCTTGTCTCCAGGGCGTGTGAATCTTGTGCTACTCTCAAAGCAGAGTTCTTTAAATTAGACGAGAGACTAATAGACTGCATACATGAACGAGATGCCTTACGAGAGACGGACAGAATCAGGAGAGAAAACTTTGAGGTGATAATAAATACGATACCTGAGGTGTGGTGTATGAGGGCGCTATTGCAAATAATCCTTCACACCTGTGAGAAGTCATTGACCTTATCACTAGAATTGTTCCATGTCAGTAGAAGCAATTTATATTTCAAGGATACTGGTGTAGTCTGTATTCTGCCTGTCAAGGCTGTTGAAAACCTACAGTTCAGACTGTGCTCGATTTGAAATATAGCATGTATTTTAGCTATTGTGTATAAGGAAATATAGTCATATCCATAGCTTGAAATAAACAGTAGCCCAAGGTACACAAACTACCATATCTAATCATTGGCTCATTGGCTACCATTCTCCAACTGGACTACTAGAAATTTACAAGATTTTTCAAATGAACAAATTTGTTCCCAAATTATGGGTGTTCCAACACAAATTGAGCATATCCATAATTAAAAGCTGTTATTAGGCAATGTAAAAAATGAATTTAACAATTCATTTTCCTAACCATGGTCCTACTTGCGTTCTAAGAG